CCTTTTTCGGTGGGCTAATGATGGATCATAATTGAAAAAATTCTAAATTTCTATGTGAGCCATCTGCCCACGATTTTTTATTCATAGTTCAGGTACCTTAGTAGCCCAGGGGGAGCGATGACATTATTACTCATCTCCATCTAAGGGGGATTCCAAATTATAATACATACACCATATATTTGTGTCACAATATATTTTTGTCGATTCCACATAATATCTTTTAATAATATTAAATATAAAAAAAATAATTTTTTTTTAAAAATGAACACTTATGAATTAATTCTTGTATAAATTCGTTTCTTTAATTAAATAAATATGTTTAATTAGAATAATGTATACAGTTTATTTATCAAATGCTGATAAAACCTAATCCTTTCTTATAATATGACCCAAAATATTACACTGCATAGGTATTTTTAAAGTGATTTAGTTATAAGTACCCTTTCTACATTAATCATTCGACTATCGCCTTATATGTAGGTAACATTATCAGTGAGTTTTAGTGATTTTAAGTACCTATACTCACGTCCTGTTTACGGACAATTTCAGTTTTCAATTTTTTTCTATAAATATCCATAAAGTTTTATCTTTTGGGCCAAAAAGTGTTAAAATTTAATACAATGCTCCTCATATATATATTTACAAAGGAAATTGAAAAATATTAAAAATATATTGGTACATTTTTTTTACATTTTTTTTAATACTATAGATATGTGTATATTATGTCTTATGTCTAGACTGACATACCGCCTCCTCTTAGAATCGTTTTTCTTATATAATGATATTATAACATTGAATTCAAATTTAATACCTATTAGCCTAATAACCTAACCCAAATTTATAACCTAACCTTTTTTGTAATTGTTTTAAATTTGGTTTTCATTTTAAAGGTCACTTATTAGTTATTACTTATTACACTATACAACACTGAAAATGATCAAACTAACTAGTAGATAGACGCTTGCCGCTTGGTTCATTGTCACATTAATAAGTCTAATCCAGGCCGACTTGAGTGGTTCAATATTATCTTATATTATTATTTTTATTAATAAAATAGACCATACATGTTCAATTTTATATGTTATAACTTACTATATACTTACCTACATACTGTATTACTGTGATAATTTAAATTATATGGTATAATACTATAATGTATATCATTTAGTTCAACATTTTAGGAATATTACTAAGTGTGTTTGGTTTAAACCTTGAAATTTTGTTTTTTAAGTTAGTTATAAAACGTTTAATAGGTACATTACATTTAAGCATATAATAAATATTACACTGTACTTATTTAAACATATAATCAGTATTTAATGCTATATATTTGTAAAACAAAATAAATACAAATATTCATAGTTTATTTTTATAATTATAATTATATTTATATTTATATAGCCAAAGTCCTACAATAATTGTACTGGTGAATGAACTAGTTACAAGGTACAACTAGCTATGACTATGACTATGACTTTTGAAACTTTATGTGACTTAATTTGTTAATAATACAGATGGATGTAGATAATTAAATATTATAGGTAAATAAACCAGGTCATATGTATTTTTAAATATACTATTGTATCAATTACAATTTAGAATCTGAAACCTACAATTCATAAATAATATAAAATATAAATACAATAAAGGAATACATTCAATACATTTGTTTTATTACGTCTTAGGAATTAAGGACAATAATTATGTTAAGCTGTAATAAGAAGAGAGATAAGTTAAAAATTATCTCAAATTAGAAATGGATTTTAGCTTCTATAAGTACGTAGGGATGTTAAGCAATAAGAAATTCTTCAGTTATTAATACTTAAATAATATAAGTAAGTATAGGGTGTTATTTTAAAATCTATGAGCAAATATTGTTAAAAATGTTTTTCGAATTATTTCAACTTGCAGGTAGGTATATTATATGACTATTTCAACACAGAATAAATGGTCGGCATGTAAGATCCACCTTAAGAAACCACCTTAGTGGAGAAGTTTATAAGAATACGTATTCTTCAAATTCTGAAAACATCGTTTAATAAAAAACCACACACACACATACGTCTATATAATTCCGAATTTTATGACTTTACACATTGGACCCAGTTTTTTTTCTAATTTAACACATAATACGTGTGTAGGTTCGTTTTATTATTATCCGTACGGACCAAACTACTACCTAGCTATATAGTTAATCTTCTGTGTCATGTGTGTATTTAACAGGTAGGTATTGTAATATGCTGGCGAATAGTTTTGTACAAATACCGTCTACACATCCGTAAAACGTATTCGCTCACGCAAACAACAATAATAGTTTCAAAATAATTTGCTAATTTTCGTGAGTTTTCCATATTTTGTCAATTTTTGAACTTTAAATGCTTATAAAATAAATTGTGACTAAGGATTTTTAATATTTTTCATCTGCCTTTGAAACAATATACTAGGA